CATTCGTATTGCACGCATCGGGCTCGGCGCATCATACTAATTACATAGCATTTCAATTCCAACTTGAATACGTGTATCGAGTTGTCGCATTTCACATGCCATTCTTAGATTAACCGAGCCTATTCTAGTTGCATTTTGCTTGTGTTGCATTAGCCATCTTAGCATGAACTAGGATCATGCATGATTTCTAACTGGTTTCTTGTTTTGGCTCGGAGTACTAGGTTAGTGCTTATACTTTAGCATCTTGCATGAGTGTGAGTGTTACCACGATAGCATGCTTGCCATGAGGCTAACTGCTTATGTGATATAACTGCCTGAATGCCTGTGGGTGAAGGTTAGATTACTTGAATTGAAATAATTCATCAAAATGTGTGTTTTAAGTCCACTTGAGAGTGGCAAAATCATATTTCTCTAAGCCTACTTGCGAGTAGCACCTTCAAACCATTTTATAAACAAACATGAGATGTTTTGTTCTGACTTAGGCGATCTAGTCTATACTTGTATGTTGTGCGCATCACATAGTAATTTTAGGCTAATAACCGGAATAAGAACGCATGTGTTTTCAAAAACAAGATATCATGTTTAGTAGTGGCCGATCTATGATCGGGCGAGCGGGGGTGCTCCTAGATGACCTTTCCCAATCGTACCCAAGTTCCCGAGCCGAGGCAACTTTGGTGATGACGGACACATGGCCTTAGGCAACGAGTCAGGGTTTCCTAAATTTCCCAAATTAAAATATTTAGGTGGCGACTTTGTATTTGGCAAAGCAGTTCATGTTTAGCACTTCTTTCTTAAAAATCAGTTTTCCAAAATGATTTGCCGGATTTGGACTCTTTGGTGATTTATCGGTCTCGCATTGCACTTTGCGGGATTAGATTCAGAACCGACACATTTGAGTCCGAAGTGTAGAAGCAAGGCCCTCGGGGCGCGTCTACACCATGATATAACTCTGATTTTTGTTGGCAAAGCCATCCCATGCTTGGTCTTAGTAGGTGTAGTATAACCCTCCCTTTTGGCCATGCATATTCCATGCCTTATGCCCTTCATGCTAGCTTGTTTTGGCTTCCTTCCATACATGTTTTAGACTCATTTTGATGTTCTAGGACTGTTTTGGGTTGCTTGGCCATGTGTTTCATGTTTTGTATAGTTGTAGTGCAAGTACATATGTTAGCTTTAAGCTTCAGGCACCATAGGATGCTTCATTTGTGTTATGTACATGATTTAGCATCACTTAACATACATTTCAGAGCATGTAGCATTGCCATGTTCTCACTTCATTCACTCTTTAAATGCCTTTGAGTGTTATGCATTGTTGCCTTGTTTATGGCCTAGTGTGTATGCTTGCATGCCATGGTCTTTGGGCCCTCATCTTAGCATGTTTTGGTCTTTGTTTAGACCTATTTGAGCTCTATCCATGATTGGTTCAATCATTTGTGCCATGTATTGCATGCCCCTTTGTGTAGTCCCTTTAATGGCCTTGTGCCTTAGGCTCTCTTGCATGCTTTACTTGTGTTGTTTGAATGATTTGGCATCATTTCACACTTGATTTCAGAGCCTTTAGTGTTGTCACACTTTTATGTTTATCACTTGTTCAATGTGCTTGAGAGTTGTGTTCTTAGACCTACTTGATAGGCCAATGCATGTACATGCTTGCCTTACCCTTTTGTGCCTTAGTTTCATCATCATGGGCACTGATTTGGGCATGACTGAGGTCTATCTATTTTGGTTTAAGTCCATCGAGCATTGTGTATGCCATGTTATATTGCATTGAGTATGTCATATTACCTTGCATCGTGAATGCCATGTTGTTGTTTGCATTGTGTATGCTATTCTATTGCTTTGCATTGAGTGTGCATGCTATTGGCATTGCGTATGCTATGTCACATTGCATTGCATGCTTATCTCTTGCATATTGTTCACATGCTTGTTTCATCGTATTGCATGTTTGCATGCTTTAGTTGCATTGCATGTTTGCATTCTTGAGTCGCATTGTGTATGCCATGTTGTTGTTGCATCTGTTTGGATTTGGTGTTAGTCCAAACACAAGAAACGAGGGACGTTTCATACTTGAAGTGATGAAACGTGCCTCAATTCTCGGTCGTCGACGCTCCTGATCACACATGATAGAGTTCTAGGCTTTATGTGTTTATGTGTGCATTCATTTTACATTAAAATTGTGCAGTTTGGCTTCTCAGCCATCGTGCATCGAGATGTGTGATTAGTGGCCCGAGGGTCTAGAACCGCACTTCCTTGGGCTTATGAAATGATAGGGAGGGTGGTTGTGCACACATATCTTGTAAATACATTGCTATGCCCTTTCTTGCTCTCTGTTGTAGCAAATTGGAGAAATGCAGCAACTACTGGTCGGCCAGCCAGAAAAACTAGCTGGCCGACCACTTTTTCTGGTTTGCAACAACAAAAAGTGGTCGACCAGTGGCTGGAAACACAAACAACTGGTCGGCAGCCCTTCCACAGGTCCCCAAGGTGAGTTAGAAGCTTTATGGAGCTTGGTGCAAGGTTCTGAGAATAGTTGCAAACAGAGGCAAGTCGGGCCATCGTGACGGGTTTCAAAAACGAAGCGACCGGGCATGCATACACTTCCCGCCTTGAGGCTCCTGTTTTATTGCTTTACTTAGCTAATTTGCTTGGCTAGTTTATGCTTTGGTTTGTACTTAATTAGTTAATACGTTTAACTATTCAATTTGTGTTGTAATAGCTTAATTAGTTAGCTTGTTGGTTAATTAGTTTTGTGATGTAATAATTAGTCTAATTAGCTTAGATTAGCTAGTTAGCTTCTTATTCGGACCCTCCGTCGAGAGGGCCAACTGTTGTAATAAGCGTGCGTGTGTGTGATGCATGTCTTCCAACCCCCATTTATTGCTCCCTTTTACTTAACCGCTTACGATGGTTAGTTCTAGGACATGTTTCGATTAACATACTTTATGCTTTCATGCGTGCATCCATTCATCTGTTTTGCATGCACCGGGCTCGGCGCATCATACAAACCGCATTGTATTTTCAATACATTTACTTGAATACGTGTTCAACAGCATGTTATCAAGTTGCATTTCACATGACATTCTAGATAGCCGAGCCTATTTTAGTATCATTTTTGCATGTGTTGCATTAGTCATCTTAACTTGAACTAGGATCATGCATGATTTCTAACTAGTTCTTTGTTTTGGCTCGGAGTACACTGTGAGTGTTTATGCTTTAGCATACTGCATGTGTGTTAATGTTGCCATGAAAACATGCTTGCCATAAGGCTAACTGCTTATTTGATATAACTGCCTGAATGCCTGTGGATGAAGGTTGGATTACTTGAATTGGAATTACGATGGTTAGTTCTAGGACATGTTTCGATTAACATACTTTATGCTTGCATGCGTGCATCCATTCATCTGTTTTGCATGCACCGGGCTCGGCGCATCATACAAACCGCATTGTATTTTCAATACATTTACTTGAATACGTGTTCAACAGCATGTTATCAAGTTGCATTTCACATGACATTCTAGATAGCCGAGCCTATTTTAGTATCATTTTTGCATGTGTTGCATTAGTCATCTTAACTTGAACTAGGATCATGCATGATTTCTAACTAGTTCTTTGTTTTGGCTCGGAGTACACTGTGAGTGTTTATGCTTTAGCATACTGCATGTGTGTTAATGTTGCCATGAAAACATGCTTGCCATAAGGCTAACTGCTTATTTGATATAACTGCCTGAATGCCTGTGGATGAAGGTTGGATTACTTGAATTGGAACAATTCATTGAAATCCGTGACTTAGCCTACTTACGAGTAACAAACTTCAAAACATTTTCAAACAAATATGCAATGTGTTGTTCCAAATTAGGCGATCTAGTCTATACTTATATGTTGTGCGCATCACGTAGTAAGATTAGCTAATTAACCGGAATAAGAACACATGTGTTTTCAAAAACAATATATCATGCTTAGTACAAGCCGATCTTTGATCGGGCGAGCGGGGTTGCTCATTGCATGACCTTCCCCTCCCGTACCCAAGTTCCTGAGCCAAGGCAACTTTGGTGATGACGGACATATGGCCTTAGGCACGAGTCAGGGTTTTCTAAATTTCTTCCAAAATAAAATATTTAGGTGGCGACTCTGTATCTGGCAAAGTAGTCCATGTTTGACACTTCTTTATAAAAATCAGTTTTCCAAAACGATTTTTCAGATTTGGACTCTTTAGTGATTTATCGGTCTTGCATTGCACTTTGCGAGATTAGATTCAGAACCGTGGCATTAAGTCCAAACTGTAGTAGCTCATAACAAAACGAAATTCGCGCCCTCGCCGGCGCGGAGAGCGAGAGTTCTCGGGGGCTCATCCATAGCTACAAATGGGTCGGTAAGCTCAAGAAAAATTTAGATGGATCCATTGCTAGATATAAGGCTAGATTAGTAGCCAAAGGTTTTCTTCAAACTGAGGGCATTAACTATTATGAGACTTTTAGTCCTGTTGCAAAGCAGCCCACAGTCCGAGTTCTTTTGTCCTTAGCCCTTCATTTTCAATGGTCCATCAAGCATTGGATTCATTGGATTCATTGGGGGCATTCTTGCATGGTGTCTTAGAGGAGGAAGTATATATGCAACAACCTCAAGGATTCATTGATGCCTCTCATCCTGAATTGGTTTGCAAATTACATAATGCCCTATATGGTCTCAAACAAGCTCCCCGAGCATGGTTTTCCATATTTTCTTCCTTTTTACTATCTTGTGGCTTTATCTCTAGCCATTGTGACTCCTCATTGTTTGTCAAGAAGACTGCAGCCTCCATTACCATTCTTCTCATTTATGTTGATGATATATTGTTAATTGACAGTGATTCCTCTTATATAGCTACTTTGGTTCCCCAAATGCATGGTGCTTTTGCTATGAAGGAGCTTGGCTTACTTAGTTACTTCCTTGGCATTTCTGTTTCATCTTCTTCTATAGGTTGCTTCTTATCCTAGCATAAGTATGTTTCTGAGTTGCTTGCTATGGTTTGTATGGCTGACTGTAAGCCATACTCTTCTCTCATGGCTTTTAAACTTGCTTCCTCTCCTCCCAATGATGATTTACCTTTTTCCAATCCTTCTCTCTACAGAAGTATTGTTGGAGGTCTTCAATACCTCACTATCACCAGACTAGATCTTGCTTTTGCTGTGAATTTTGCTTGCCAATATATGCACCAACCTCTTGTTCGACATTTTGTTATGGTCAAAAGGCTTCTCAGATATCTTAAAGACACCCTTGGTTACGGTCTTCAGTTTAGCCCTGGTCCTCTTACACTGCATGCCATTTTAGATTCTGATTGGGTTGGTGATTTTCTAGATAGAAGATCAACTACTGGGTTATGTGTTTTCCTTGGCCCTAATTTGGTGACTTGGTCTGCTAAAAAGCAACCTACTGTGGCTAGATCTTCTACTAAAGCTGAGTATAGGGATTGGCTTAAACTGCTGCTGAGTTAAGTTGGCTTGGTATGCTTCTCTCCGACCTACATATTTCTTCTTCCTCCCCTACATTGTGGTGTGATAATATTTCTACCATCTCTCTGTTTTCCAATCCTATTTTTCATGCCGGAACTAAACACATAGAGGTCGATTATGTAATAATCCTGTCCTGTACTATGTTAATTAATCAAGATTATGTTTACCATTATGTGCTTAATTTGAATTTGGGTGTTAATTGCATGATTATATGTGATTTTTGCTTTGTATCTGTTCACCGTAGGAAAATCTATTAGCATCTATGATTTGAATTGAAAATTGAAGGCCTTATCGGCCACAGAAACCGAAATTGACTACGCCATTGTGATTTGCGTAATTTTGAGAGCCTATGGTGAAATTTAATTAGAAATTGAGTTCGATCAAAATAATTAGATTAAACTGATTGAATTAGGCTCAATTACATAGCCTTAATCAAACTTGATTAAGCAAGCATATATAAGGGCCTTATTACACTTAAACTCACCATATTTTGAGCTCAAAATCTGAAAATCACACTCTAGAGAGAGAGGGGCAGGTTCTAGAGAGAGGAAGAGGGAGAATTGTGCATTTGGCTCAAAGTTTGTGAATTTGGAAGCTACACTCAAGATCTAACTACATTTGTGAATATTGGAGCCTCTAGGTGAGTAATTTGATACGAATTCATGAGTTGAGTTTGTAATTATATGAATTCAAAGAGAATATGTAACCAAGAGCAAGAATTAAGTTGCATGTAAGAAATTTCCATGAATTTGCATATTTGAGCATGAAACATGTAGCTCATGTTGATTTGAGAGTCATATACTACATGCATGTAAGAATTTCGATGGTATGGAACTTAATTCAAAAGATTCATGTTACAATTAGAAGTTGATTATGATGAGATTGAAGTTTATATGCACATGCATGTTTAGAATTGCCATGATTTTTGCATAATCAAGCATGAGGCATGTTGAATATGATGAATTGAGCACCAAATCATACTTGCATGCATATTCCTAATAGATTCCATGTTTTTGAACATCATTTGTGCTATTTAAAGTGGAACTGGAGTCAATAACTGACATGCATGAATGACCATGATTTGAAACTTAAGATGATTTGTATGAAGTTATGAATTGTATAAAGTTAAATGCATGAGTTTTGAAACTTATGAAGGGAACTCAAGATGATTTTGTGAATAGACCATGATTTTGAACAATTGGCCTTATGTTGTTTATGCCCTCATGATATATAATGTGTTTCCACGTTTTTTAGCCAAAAACTTGAGTTATGGGCCTTTGAATGCTGAGTTTGAGCTTCAAGAACGGTTTTGGAAATTCTAGAATTTGGCATATCCGCTCGAGCGGAGAAAGCGCCGCTTGAGCGTGAAATATTAGTTCCCAGAACTTTTGCTAACTTTGATGTCCGCCCGAGCGGAGAGAGTCACGCTCGAGCGTAAGTCACATGTGTCGACTCTCAGCTCGAGCGTCTGAAGTCACGCTCGAGCGTAAAATTGAGGCAACCAGTACTGTTGCAGACCAAATGGGTCCGCTCGAGCGGCGAAAACCACGCTCGAGCGGGGAGCCATGTTTTTGAAATTTTGAAAAGATGTTTTGTGTTTCATTTTCCATTTTCTTTCATTTCTAAGCACTCTTAGGCATACATTGAACATTATAAATGAGTTAAAGAGATAAGAAAGAGGCTTAACAGGAATATGTAAATTAAGAACGTATTGAATGGCTTGTGACCCAATATGTATTATGTATTGTGTAGGGTCAAGCACAAGGGCAAATCCATCGGCGGAGCACTATGAGTAATATCTTAGTAAAGATATTTTCAAATATGTTACTTTCCAAATGCTACTTCAGTATAAGCTTCATGAACTCGTTGATTTGAAATATGAATGAGTATTCTATATGCCTAATTTTGTATAAGGCCGTTTGATACGCTTAATATATCTGAATTGGGCCTAAGGCCATTTGCCGTTTGATACGTTTGACACGTCTGAATTGGGCCTAAGGTCGTTTGCTATTTGATATGTTTGAATATAAAGATGGGCCAAAGGCCGTTTGAATACCGTGATGGGCCAAAGGCCGTTTGAACATGAGCGTAATGGGCCAAAGGCCGTTTGAATGAAAAGGGATCATGATCATGAATGTGAAATACGTATAGATATGAATATAAAGAGAATGGGCCCGAGGCCGTTTGATACGCCTGATATGTTTGAATTGGGCCCAAGGCCGTTTGATATGTTTGAATTGGACCCAAGGTCGTTTTGTTTTATATAAGAATTGGACCTAAGGTCGTTTTGCATATGGATATGATATGTTGGACCCGAGGTCGTTTTGCTTTGTTGAGATTTGTAAATCTGATATGAATGAGAATAGTGGTTCAAATGTGTGCATTATAAGTATGACTCATTTATGAACGAATCTCATTCATTAACCTCTTTATTTTGATGTTATTCACTAGGCATTAACTCACTCTTATTTATATGTATGTAGGTGAACAAAGGGACGTTCAACCCCAACCTTAGTGGAATTTAAGAAAGGAACCTGAGTTTTGTGAAGTCAGCCCAGGAGCCTTACGCAAGAGGCTTTGTTTATGATCTTTCGTATTTCTTTTGCTATTTCTATCGGTCATGATAGACCGTTTATGTGTATAAAGCTTTTGGTTTAGCTGACTATGTGTTTGGATGATATTGGAAATACAAGATGTTAACTACTGATATGTGGTGTGAGTTATTATTAAGTATATGTGAAATGTTTTGATATGCAATGTATGTATAGCTCATTGGACAAAATTTTTAAGTTTACTTTCGCATCTAGCCCCATATTATTAATTATTAATTGATATCAGGTTTGAGGCCATAGGTAATCTCATGATTACTGGCCGGTTATGACCCTACTCTATAGGGGCGGGTTCGGGTCATGATAGATTATCACTATGTCAAATAAAGGGTAGCTGCTAAACAACTCACCATTTGTCATATTCTTACTTCCGATCAGGTTGCAGACATTTTCACCAAGCTTCTGTCTATTCACCGCTTTAGTTACTTACAGTCCAAGCTTATGGTCATTTCCTCTTCCATCAGCTTGAGGGGGCCTGATGATGTATCTGCAAAAGTTCAGCACACACATACAAGATCATGTGAGCTAACCAAGGCAGAGTCACAGTTGAAGCCACAGCTACATCTCACCAAATCAATTAGAGCTGCTGTAGGTCCTGCATTATCATGCACGTGTTTACATCTAAGGCAGTTGCACTCCAACTGTAGTGGTTAAGTAGTTAGGGAAGTTGTTGTGTTAACTGTACCATAGTTAGTTAACTAGTTAAGAGAGTTACTCATAGTTGTATATAAATCCCTCTATATTGAAAGATATTTTAGTAAGTTGAATAAGATTCATTTTCTCATTACTAGTTCACATTTAATATTGGAAAGTATAACAATCTTCTGTTTTCGTTCACGGTGGACAAACTATATTTATATTTTTCAAGTAGTCAATTATATATATATATATATTTTTTATTTGATTGTGGTTGAACTTTTTTTTACTTATCATCATTGTAAATTTATATTTTTTATAAACTGTTAATCCGTTTGAACTGTCAAAGTCAAAACTACCATTATTTGCCAATCGAATCATCAATTTTTGATATAAAAAAAATAAAAAAAATAACAATTTCTAATGATAAATTTGTCAATCCACCATCCGCTGTGCAATTTTTATTCTCTCACTAAATTGCACCAACTCACACTACGCACACTCTTAACTATCATGCCAGTTTTGCTTTCAAAAACTATTAAAGATAAAGAATGTAGTCATCTATGGGCTGCCTATGACCATAGTTCTAAAAAATGGCCGATACGCTACGTATCAGTCGGTTCATATCATAAAAATAGGGCATCGCGACGGATACAAGTCGAGATACCACTGAGATCAAAAATCGCAGGAGAATCGGCCGAGTCCCGGTACGTATCGGTCTATAACCGTTACATAAATCATTACACAAACCGTGATGGGCCGATACTCACTGGTTCGAAGCAGTACGAGAGAGAAAAAGTTGAAAAACTTGTGAAATGATTTTTAAAATTTCACCGCCGCGACACCGGATTTCCGATATGCACCGACTGATACTATCGATACTGATACTCCGTAATCGATACCGTTGCATTACCCGATACTGTGACTTAGAACCATGCCTACGACAACAAAGAGAAATGATGATGTGATGCATGTATATAATCTTTACATGAAAATAATAAATACAGAAAAGAGAGTATAGAAAAGAAATCTTTAGTTTCCCAAGTCCAATAAACTTTTGTTTATTACTTTTTAATAATCGATTAGATTTGAACTAAAACATCCGCTCCACAATAGAAAGCCCAAGATACATTTCAATTTCAACAAATACACAAAGGCTGACCCAAAAAAATTATAAAAAACAAAAAATAATAAAAATGAAAAAGAAATTCAACAAGTACAATTAGTATTCATCTCCTCCTTAGCCCATTTTGGTTGATTTTTATTGTAGATTTTCCCATTCCAACCCCTTCATAATCAGTATCATCATCACCATCTTCCTCTTCATCGTTTTTCAACAGTTGTACCACTTTCTTTTTCCCCTCTACACCATCCTTTAACCACTCCACCACTTGCAACATACTCGGCCTGTTATCAGGATTGCTATCCGTACATCTCATGGCGATCATAATCACTGTTTTTAATTGTGCTCGATCATACTTACCATTCAACCTCCGGTCAGCAATATGTTCAAATGCACCTTTGTTAACATATGGGGTAGCCCATTGCACAATGTCACGCTTCACACCTCCTGCAAGTTTCTCTATAGGTTTTTTAGCACTAATTATCTCGAGGAGTAAAATTCCAAAACTATAAACATCGCAGCTTTCTGACACCTTCCCCCACATGGCATACTCGGGTGCTAAGTACCCCAGTGTTCCCTTCACTCTTGTGGTCAAATGAGTCACTCCGTCTGGAATTAGCTTTGCGAACCCGAAATCAGCAACTTTTGCTTGAAATTCTGAGTCTAGAAGGACATTACTTGCCTTTATGTCTCTGTGAATTATATGAGGATTTGTCTCATGGTGCAAGTACCTTTACAATGAAAAATGTATATATATATTAGTTAGAGGTTTCTATTTATTCCTAGATAAATTCTACTTTACTTTTTCTTTTCTTTTCTTTTTTTAAAATAAATTTCATGTGGATTCTCACATCATTGAAGGTGACAAAAATGGTGAAATTCATCCACTGACATATCATTCTAATGCCTTCTTATTTGATTGATTAAAATAGCATGACCTCATTTAAAATAGTAGAGTCAAATCAGAAACAGATGAACTTATGTCTCAAGTAGTAAACAAAATCAGATTATTTGTTGGCTTTTCCGGAGTATTTAATTCAATTATTTTCATCTTTAGTAATAAAATTTTAAAAACTATATCAATTTCTTAATTTTAATGTCCTTTGAAAAAATCTATTAAAGACGCAAATAAATCAATTTTTATCAGTAAAAAGTTGACTTATTCTGGATATTACTGGATTTCACTAAACACAACAAATTCAAATAAAAGTTAACATCATAAACTAAAACTAAAGGAAGCCTTAAGTAAGACGGGTAGATTCATGAACCAGTCGTTGTCCTATTGGCCAAAACTAATTTAACAAAGGAAATTGAAACATCATGAAAAGGTCATCAAGGCCATAGTAATGTACAAAATTCTTAGAATATCCATGTATAGAATAATTGGTATTTAAAATAATAATAATAAAAAAACTAGAGAGAATTGTTTTGATTTCAATGGTTGAACCAAGAGTTTTAAATAAAGCATATTGGATTAGCCAAAATTAATTTAACAAATGAAATTAAAACATCATGAAAAGGTCGAGGTCATACTAATGTACAAAAGTCTTAGAATATTCATGTATAGATTATAGCATAGGGATGGGTGTGTCTCTTGTTCTAATCTAGACTTGAGATGTGCTATTTGGGTTTGTGGGAATAACAATCTCGTTTCGATATTTCAAATCATTAATTTTTTTAAATCTTTTGTATATATCATCCATAAAAAATTAGACCAATTCAATAATCTGCCTCTTCATTTTGTTATTTTTTTAAGACAAATATAACAAAATGAAGAGGTTTCGAAAATCAACTCGATCTAATTTCTTTTATAAATTATATATATAGAGGATTCTAAAAAAATGAACATTTCAAATTATCAAAACAAAACAGTAGTGGGTCCCAAAAGCTCAGACAACACCTCTTTAATTCGAATTACGACCGAAGAGAAATCCATCCCTATAGATTAACAAATAATAATAATTTTTTAATTTTTTGAATAATTTTTTTTTTTTTTTTTTTTTTTTGAATGGTTGAACCAAGAGTATTAAATGATGCAAATATTGGAAATACTTACGCAAGTCCCTCAGCAGATCCAATGGCAATGGTCATTCGACGTGGCCAATCTAACAAACAATCAGCAGCTAGCTGACCATGGAGATGCGAGATCAAACTGTGGTTAGGCATATAATCATAGACAATAAGCCTCTCTTCACCACCAGCATAGAAACCTCTCAATCCCAACAAATTCTTGTGTCTAACCCTCCCAAGTACCTCCACTTCCACTGCAAACTCCATTTCTGCCTTTCCACTCATTGCCTTCAGCCTTTTCACTGCTATCTGCATCATCCAATTAAGCTTTTTCAATAAACAAAAAGATTATTGTTATACATCACTTTTTTTTTCTTTTTTGTCGATTATATATCATAGAATTGTGTATTACAAAGTATTATTTGATTTTATTGTTTTAAAAAATATATTTAGAAATAATAAATCAATCATAAATATTCATGTAAGAATTAATACAAAAAGGTGACATATACTCGTTTGGTAATATTTATTTTAATGATTTATTTATTTATATTTATAAAAACATTGAAAATTCTAAACATTACTCTTTTGATGTTTAACTTCGTTTTAAAAAAATTATAACAATTTAAAAAATTTATTGAATTCTCAGAACAAAAATCAAGAAAAATGTTTTCGTTCATTCTTCCTCTCCACCTATGACCATTGTTGGCTACCCCTACCTCCAACCTTGCCTTGGCAATCACCTCCAGCCAATTCTCCCTCTCCAACTATGACATCGTCGGCTACCCGAACCTCCAACCTTCACTTGGCAATCACCTCCAGACACTAGTACACCTTCCCCGACCGGCAACTTCCTATACTTGTCAACGACCACCTTTGATTTCATACTCCCGCAGACAATCACCATCGCCATCCCTTCTCACTTGTTTTTTAAACAAATTTTGAAACACACATATGTATTAATTTTGTTTTATTTTTTTACTAGAACTAAAACTAAATACATTTAATATTTTTATAAACAATTACAATAAAAATAAACTCTACTAAACGGAAATAAAATTCCTCTGAACATAAGCTTACTTTGATTATATATATATATATATATATATTTCTATCATATTGTGTTTAGATCACAAATATATAAAGAGAAAATAAATTCAGAGAGAAAGAAGAATGAAATGAAAATGAAAAAGGAGGGACAAGATTGCCTCAGCGCCTTTACTTGTTCGACCCCAATAAACGCTTCCAAAACCTCCCTCGCCAATCTTGTTATCAATGTGGAAGCTGTTTGTTGCATGCAGCAGCTCCTTCAGACTGTACATTTCCCATGGGTAATCCCTACCCTTCATTTCCCTTTAAACCAACAACATCAACAACAATAAAAACAAAATTACATATATATCTATTTACGCTGTGTTTGGATCACAGATTTGAGTGAAATTTATAGAGAGAAATGAATTGAGTAAAATGAAAAAAGAAAATCAATTTCATATGCTTTTTTCATCTTGTTTTTCTTTGACCTTCACTAATCTCTCCCAAAAGTTTTGATCCAACCACAGTCTAAGACTGTTTGAATCCAGGATTTTTTAAAAAAATTTGAGGAGGAAAAGGGTAAAAAGAAGAAAAAAAAATCATTTTCATACACTTTTTTCAGATTTTTTATTTTTCCTTCACAAATCTCTGTCTAAATCTGTAATCCAAATTAAAGATTCAAGTTGAATTTGTGGAGGGAAAGAAAAGAGAGGAGAAGAAAAATAGCTTCAATTTCGTTTAATTTTCCCTTTCTTCTTTCCTTTTCTTTCACAAATTCTTTATCAAATCATTGATACAAACATAGTCTTAAAGTCAAACATGAATCGAAATATCTAAAAAAAAAAAAGTACCTGATCTTTGGTTTTTCTGGACAGAAGCAACCAAAGCATTTCCAGAAGTGCATTTTTTTGCAGTGGAAGAAAGAGGTGGGAAAGATGGAGGAAGAAGATGTATAAACAAGAAGATGGCAAAATTTTCTGATATTACAAAGTAGGAAAAGTTGGAGTCCTATTATGTGAAGACAAAGAGGCAGCCTAAGATGTCTATGGACATTTTTGGAGTGTTCTTGTGATGATGGAGTTGTGAATGCAATTTGCTGCTTATTAGGAGGCTAATCTTCTTGCTGATGTAACCTGTTTTGTAGTTTTTTCCAGTCCTATTCTCCATTTGTAATGTCACATTACTATTATTATTATTATTAGAAAAAAAAAAAAAAGGATTAGTTATACTTTTCATTCTTATAATTTAATTCAAATTTCACTTTAATTTCAATCATTTCAAATTAAATAATTTCCTCCTTACACTCTAAGTCCAATTTTAATTTAGTCATTCTTGATAAGAATGCAGCTCAGCTAGTGCAAGAAGAAGACGAAGTCAGTTGCAGCACTACATCAAGCCTTAGCAAACAAAATCAAGCCTAACTATCATAACTAACTTCTAACTTAATACTGTTAAAGAAGTTAGTAATCACTACAACATTTTCTTAGTTTAGTGACATTTGAAAGTGACACTTGAAAGTGACACAAAACTATTCTTCTAATGACATTTTTTGGTCTTGTGGTATTTTGAACAAGTGCCACTTCTATCGGTGCCACGATAGACACGAGTGCCACGATAGATACTTGCAAGTGCCACTGCACCATCATGGCTGAAAACTTTCAATGACATTTTGATGTCATGGTAGATATTATTTGTGGCACTATCAAGCGCCATTAAAAAAAGAGTTAGTGACACTTGTAAGTGTCATTACACTATCAAGACTAAAACCTTTCAGTGACACTTTAATGTCATGGTAGGCACTATTCGTGACGCTATCAAGTACCATTCATGATGATAATTCATTGTAGAACAATTTGATCCGCTCTTGCGAAGACTTGAACCGCCAACCTTCCGCACCATAAACCTCACTACAACATTTTCTTAGTTTAGTGACATTTGAAAGTGCCACTAAACTATTCTTTTAATGACATTTTTTGGTCTTGTGGCATTTTGAACAAGTGCCACTTCTATCGGTGCCACGGTAGATACGAGTGCCACGGTAGATACTTGCAAGTGTCACTGCACCATCATGGCTGAAAACTTTCAATGACATTTAAATGTCATGGTAGATATTATTTGTGGCACTATCAAGCGCCATTAAAAAAAGAGTTAGTGACACTTATAAGTGTCATTACACCATCAAGACTAAAACCTTTCAGTGACACTTTAATGTCATAGTAGGCACTATTCGTGACTAATTCGTTGTAGAACAGTTTGATCCGCTCTTGCGGAGACTCGAACCGCCAACCTTTCGCACCATAAACCTTATACACCACACTCTTCCCACTACACCTCTATACCACCACATGATTATATATGCAACATATATTATTTATATAGTACATACATCCATATTAATATAAATTTATATGTATAAACATAATTATTTTATTTAACATAATTTATGTAAAATAAACTATTTACTACCAAAATATAAAAAAAGGACCACTTTTGGCTATTAATTATTTTTTAGTTGCTAAAAAATTTAACTTTTGTCGACCAAAATCGAATTTAGTCGCCGAAGATGCACTTTCAGCTACCAAAATTTTGGTCACCAAAAAATTTTATTCCCGCCTTAGGATTTTAGTTCTCCCGCGCTAAAAATGACCACTTTTGGCGACTAAACTTATTTTTTTAGTCGCCAATTGTAGATTTTTGGGCTACTAAATTTTTTTAGTTGCCAAAAAGCTTTACTTTTGGCTACTAAAATTTTTTTAGTCGGTAAAACCCATATAATCAGCGACCAAACTTAGTTTTAGTCGCCAATTGTAGACTTTTGGCTACTAAAATTTTTTTTGGCACCAAAAAGCTTTACTTTTGGTTACTAAAATTTTTTTAGTCGGTAAAACCCATATTTTGGCGACTAAACTTATTTTTTAGTCGCCAATTGTAGACTTTTGGCTACTAAAATTTTTTTTTGCACCAAAAAACTTTACTTTTGGCTGCTAGAATTTTTTTAGTCGGTAAAACTCATATAATCAGCGACCAAACTTATTTTTAGTCGCCAATTGTAGACTTTTGGCTACTAAATTTTTTTAGTCGCCAAAAAGCTTTACTTTGGGCTACCGAAAATTTTTTACTCATTAAAACCCATATAATCAACGACCAAACTTAGTTTTAGTCGCCAATTGTAGACTTTTGGTTACTAAAATTGTTTAGTCGCCAAAAAGCTTTACTTTTGGCAACTAATGCTGTTTTGGTCACTGAAAGCTATATTTTCAGCGACCAAATTTTTTTGGTCAGGAAATTTAGTCGCCGAATATGCTTTTTCCTGTAGTGTATATTGAGTTTAATTCATTTATTTTTAATCATTTACTGCATTTTAAAAATTTACAAAATATATTGGCATTTTTTGTTTTTTAAAAAATGTCATTATAAACTTGGAAAGTTTTTGCCGTAGTGGCATTTCTCAAAATACTATAAAATATTTGTTTATGACACTTTTCACCTAAGTGCCATAAAAAGTAATTTGCACCTACCTAGTGTCCTGACATTTTTTAAAAAATGCCATTGCAACTAAAGTTTAGTGGCATCTGTTGGTAAATGTCACAAACATAATTTTTTATGTCATTATTTTATAAAATATCATAAAATTGATGTGACATTTCTTTATTGAAATGCCACTAGAGCCTTATATGTTTTGTGGTTCTGTGGCATTTTTCTAAAACGTTTAATGCCAATTTTTATTTTTGTGGCATTTTCTAAAAACATGCTACTAGTGTAGTGTCACTAAAGTTTAAATTTGTTATAGTGACATTTTTGTTGTAGTGAAGTGACACTTTTTTTAATTGAAATGCCACTAGAGCCTTGTATGTTTGTGGCTCTATGACATTTTTCTAAAAAATGCCACAAATATTCTTTTTGTGACATTTTTTAAGAACATGCCACTAGTATGGTGTCACTAAGATATGTTTTTTGTTGTAGTGTTGTGACACTTGTTCATTGAAATGTCACTAGAGCCTTTTATGTTTGTCGTTTTGTGGCATTTTTCAAAAACGTGCCACTAAATATCATTTTTTGTGGCATTTTCTAAAAATATGCCACTAGTATAGTGCCACTAAAGTATGTTTTTGTTGTAGTGAATGTAACCTCTCTTAGTTAGGTTAATAGTTAGGTTAACTGTAGTTGAGTTAACTGTTGTAACAAACTTCTGTATAAAGTGTAATAGTTGAAAATGAATAAACAAGCTGAATAGATTCAAAATATTCTTTATGGTATTAGAGCCTATCGAATGCTCTAGCGAGCACGAAGGTCCTTCCATGGCTTCCATGGATTCTTGATTTCAAGTTCCTTCAAATCTAAAACTTTTGGTCTCAAATCTCAGTGCATTTGTCACCGTAAAGCTTGATATTAGCAAATTCATTATATGGAAAAATCAACTCTTCAATATTCTTCGTGCCACTAGACTGCTTGGATATGTAGATGGATCTGTTGTTCCTCCTTCCAAAATGATCACAGACAAAGTAGGTTTGAGTGCTCTGAATCCTACATTCACTCATTGGCACACTGTTGATGCTCATCTCCTAAGTTGTATCACTGCAACTCTTTCCACTTCCATTTTTACTTCTGTATGAAATTGTAAAACTAGTTTTGAGGTTTGGTATAATCTTGAGAAGCGATTCACCTCTCTTTCAAGATTATACCAAACCTCAAAACTAGTTTTACAATGACATACAGAAGTAAAAATAGAAGTGGAAAGAGTTGCAGTTATATACCTCTCTTTCAAGATCACATATTCATCAGCTTAAGAATAAGCTTTGTAACATCACCAAAACTTCTTCATCAATGGAGGAATATCTTGCACAAATCAAGGATATCGCTGATCAATTGGCTTTGGCTGGATCTACCGTTGATGATGAGGATCTAGTTCTCTTGACTCTCAATGGTCTGCCAACAGAATACAGTGCATTCAACACTAAAATTAGAGCTAAAACAGATCCAATTTCAATGGATGTGCTGTCTTTACTTCTCTGTTCTGAGGCTATTCATATTGAAAGTGCTTCTAAAGTTTCTTCTAATTCACACATGGTCTACTCTGCTTCCAATACTGCTTCATCACAGTCTCGGAATTCTGGTTCTCGAAATACTTATCGAAGCAATTTTCACAGAGGAGATCGCACTGATTCAAGAGGTGGCAGATTTCCTTATTGTGGCCGCAGAGGTGGACGATCAAATTCTACTTTTGTTATATGTCAGATTTGTGGCAAGAATAATCATATTACTCTCAACTGTTGGTACCGTATGGATTCTTCTCTTCAGCCATCTGGTTCGTCAAAGCCTCTTCATTATTCATCCGATGGATCAAGTAGAGCCTATGTCGCTTCTGCACCAAATCCTTCTGAGAACTAGTATTTGGATTATGCTGCCACCAGTCATATCACACATGATCTTCAGAACTTACATGTCTATCATCCCTAGGAAGGTCATGATCAAGTAATGGTTGGTGATGGTGTCTGTCTTCCCATTCAGCACAAGGGTAATGGTCTTCTCCCTACTCCATTTTCCTCTTTCCAGCTTCATATTGTTCTTCATGTTCCTCAAATTTCAGCCAATTTGATTTCAGTTCATCAACTGGTTAATGATAATAATTGTACTATAACATTTGATGCTGATCATTTCATTATTCATGACAAGACAAGTAAGGATGTCTTGTACAAAGGTGTTTCCTCTCAAGGCCTCTATCATCTTCCAGCTACTCTTCCTTCATCTCTTCCTCGTCAAGCGTGCTTCAGAACTACTACTACTTCTTCTCGTGACATATGGCACTCTAGGCGAGGCCATCCATCCACTTACAAATTTCGAGTTCTTTGTAATAAATTTCAGCTGTCTATACCTAGTAATAAAACTTCTGTTGTATGCTCACCCTGTTGTGTTGCAAAGAGTCACAGGCTGCCTTTTAGCCTCTCTACTACTGCTGTTAATCAACCATTTGCTTTGGTTCACAGTGATGTATGGGGACCTTTTACAGTTCCTTCTTCTCCCTCTACTTACAGATTTTATGTCTTGTTTGTTGATGAATATAGCAAGTTTACATGGATATTTC